AGTAACCTTCTTATCAGCTCAGTGCAAAGTTAAACCCTGAAAATACCAAATCCTTTGAGAAAGCTATCTTCTCTTCCTCTCTCCCTCCATTATAAATATAACATGTGTATATACTTTTTGGCAAAGTAGGCTTGATGAGCTACTCTTTTGGTAAAAATGAGAGTACCTTGGCTGATATTGACATATCCATATAGAGGAGGTTTGTAATTCCCTTTTAATCTCTTTTTTGCCCTTTCTAGAGTTTGAGATATAAAGTGTTAGTTTGATGTACAGAGCACCAAAACTGTCTGTATTCGTTTCAGTCTGCTATGTAATGTGGGGATATAAAATTGTACTACTTTTTCCTCTTCTCATTTCATTTAGCAACATGCAAGGCTGTTGCTAAAGTGTAAGCCTCTGAATTTGTATGAGGTTTTACCTGAGATTCACTTCACATATATTGAGCATCTTCAGAAGGACTATGCATTATTTTCTGTGTGTATCTATGCACACACACACACATACACACACACACGTGCACACACATACTTCTGGAATAATATAAAATTATTTGAAAAGAATATTCTGGGATGTCCTTCACCAGCCAGAGTCAAACTGGTGATTGCTGAAAGACTCTTGACAACTTGAGATTAATTTTCTTGGGAAGCAGAGTAAATGGCTGGGAGCAGACATCTAGAAATGGCAAGGACAGATGAAATGGCGTATGTTTCACTCTTACCAGTCACTCTGGAATCTGCTCTCCTACTTCTCAGGCTTAACTAGCAAGGTCTCATCTCTTCTAACCCAGACAACAGCCATTGCAAGGCTGAAATGTCTAGGCATTTATTTAAAATTTAATCAGAAGGGGTTCTGATTGGCACAGCTTAGGTCAGGGGCCCCCTCAATGTCCAAGCTGGGTTAGATGGGCTGGGGCTTTTTTTTTTTTTAAAGACAGGGTCTCACTATGTAGTTCAGGTTGTCCTTGAATTCACTATGTAGTCCAACTCGGCCTCTAACTCATAGCCATTTTCCTGCCTCAGCTTTCCAGTGGCTGGGATTATAGGCATGCACCACTATACCTGGCTCAGCAGGGCACATTTTTAGAAACAGCTGCTGATGGTCTGTGGGTGGACTGGGAGGCATGCTGTTGTTTTATTACCCCCCCAACCCCCCTGCTTCATATGTTTATAGTTTTCATCAGGTCTCTGTAGAGTTTAAGTTTGCAACTCTTTTTTAAGAGCTTTAGATACAGCTGAGTACAGTGGCACATGCCTGTAATCCCAGCACTCTGAGAGGCCAAGGCAGAAAGATCACAAATTCAAGTATCAATTTAACAAGACTGTCTCAAAATAAAAAAAATTTAAAAGGGCTGGGGACATAGTTCAGTGCAAAGCCCCTGGGTTCAATCCCCAGTACTGGGTTGGGGGTTTCAATTACACATTTCCAAAGTGTTTTGTAGCTTCCTAGTCCTTTTCTTGAGCAGCTTGGTAGCCCTTTGTCTTGATGCTAATTGGGTTTGACCTAGTTGGCAATTATTGAGCTCTTGCTGTATGCAGAGGCAGAAGCAGCTAGGCCAATGGGAATGAAGCTGACAGGGTTATCAGAGGGGAGACACCAGGTGGCTGAGCCCTGGGTGTGTGTGAATTTGCCAAGGGAGGGTAAACAGTGCCCAAGAGTAAAGGTCAGGGAAGATAAGGTGAACAAACTCCCTGTGGCTTCCTATCCCTGGTCACAGAAGAGTAGTGGATGGAGAAAATGGCAGCAAAAGCTTTGGCTCTGAAGGGGGAAGGGAGGGCAATAGCCAGTGGAGCCTAGAGCTGTTCTTAGGGGCAGGGAGAAGAGGCTGAAAGAGCCAGTGCATGTGGTCCTGACAGCTGAGAGACAGGGGAAGAGCACAGACAGAGAAGTGGCTCTGAATTGGAGGGAGGCAGGGCCTGAATGTTATCGGATCAGAAGCTTGCAGAAGTTGCAGAGAGAGGAGTCCTGCCTAGTAGACTCCTTTCTCCTTGAAGCAGCAGGTTATTCAGAGCTCTTTGAGGCCTCCCTAGGACTAGGGCAATTATCTCCTTGGCACCTGATAAGGGAATTTGTTGTCATGAACTGTGTCCTCCTCCCTCAAGTTCAGATGTTGAAACCTAACCCTCTCTACCTCAGACTGTGAGAGTGTTGGGAGACAGGGTCTTTAAAGAAGTAAATAAGGAGCCTGGGTGTGGGGTGGGCATCTATAATGTCAGCACTCTGGGAAGCAGAGAGGCAGGAGAATCCCAAATTCAAACCCAGCCTGGGCAACTTAATGATTTATTGAGACCCTGTCCCAAAATTTAAAAATTAAGGGCTGGGAATGTTGTTCCACATGAAGCCCCTGGATTTAGTCCCAAGTACTGGGGAGGGGGTAGTTGATGTTAAATGAGGTCATATGGGTGGGGCCCTAATCCAATAGGACTGGCATCCTTATCATAGAGGAAGAGACTTGATAGGCACACAACAAGGAAAAACGATAGGGAGAAGGTGATCCTCTTTAAGTCTGGAGAAACTTGACCTGCTAACACCTTGATCTTGGACTTCCAGCCTCCAGAACTGTTAGAAAATAATTGCTGTCACTGAGTCTACCTACTTCGGGGTATTCTGTTCTGGTGGACTAGTAGGCTAACAGAGAGAGGAGGAGGAGGGAGTGAGGAAAGATGGAAGAGCTTTAGGTCGGTATCATCAGCTTCTACAGCTCCTGGAATGCATATAAATAAACAGTTGTGTTAGCAACGCAATTCCCACTCAGTAGACAGGCTCTAGATTTAGACAAACTTGAGTTTTAGATCTAGAAAGTCACATATCCTTCCTGCATTTCAGACTTTTTATTTGTGAAAAGGAGATAATGAAACACACCTCACAGGGTGCTTGTGAAAAGAAAATGAAATGAGAGCTGTAGAAACATCGAGCATACTCCCCAGGAGACATCAATTGACATCACTATTTGGAAAGGAGCCGCATAATTAGGCTGTATTATGTAGTTAGTATTACTGAGAGATAAATAAGTTCTTGGGAGAGGGAAAGAGAATGAAGAGAATTAAGATGTGTTATGTACGTGTACCAAGTCCCTGCAGTGAATGTAATCATTATGTACTGCAAACATGTACTAATAAAAATAAAAATGCTTTCTAAAAAAGATAAATTCCTGGGCCCTAAGTGTCTACATAGACACCTGTCATTTGGTGAAGAATTGGAGGAAGGGGAGATGTACTTGTTCACGAATAAGCCTGCATTGATCTGGGGTAGAAATGCCATAACAAGTAGGAAACTAGATGTAGAGAGGCTAATCTGTAAGATGTTTGCAGCCGGCACTGGGCCTGGCATACATCAGAGGTACTGGTGTGCCAGGTAGCACATGCCTGAATGTGATCCCAGCACTCTGGGAGGCTGAGGCAGGAGGATCACAAGTTCAAATCCAGCCCAGGCAACTTAGGAAGACCCTATCTCAAAATAAAATATAAAAAGGAGCTAGGGGCATAGCTCAATGTAAAAGCCCTGGGTTCAATCCCCAGTACTGTTAATATGTGTGTGTGTATATACATATATATATATGAATGCATGTATAAATAAAGACAGATCAATGAACACTAACAAGACCAATCTGTTGATGGATGTGTTAATCAACCCACTTAGGGCTATAAGTGACAGAAACCAATTTAAACCAGTCTAAACCAGGAAATTAAAATCAATTTTTAAAATTTTTAAATGGAGGGGGAACTTAGTTGCTTGGAAACTGACAAGTCCAGAAGTCAACTTCAGGTGTGGTTGGATCCAGGGACAGAGAGTTATATATGGTGATCTTCTCTCTTCTCTTGGCTTTACACGGAGGCAGCTCCCTCCAGGTTTCCCCCATCTACACCAAGCAATTCCAGAGGAGATGGAACTTCTCTTTCCCAACAGTCCCAACTTGAGTCTTAGATTGACTCTGAGCTGCCTAGCCAGACACAAGATCATCCGAATCCAACCAGCACAGCTCCAGGGTCTGAGAACAGGGGAGAGATACTTTTCCAAAGGAAAAACAGGGAGCTTTGCTCAGGAGGATGAGATAGATTGCTAGGCAAGTACAACCCACTGCAATGTCTCCAGAAAGGAGTCAGATAACACACAGGTGACTAGGTGAGGGAAGCATGCTACCTGGAGGACACATGAGTAACCAGAGCAGTGCCGGTCTAGGCAGGATCAGGGCCTAGGGGATACAAGTGCCTGGCCAAGGGGCTATAAAGTATATTGCATGCAAAAATGGCCCTGATTCTCCACCCATCCCTGAATCCACATCCTGTTCAATGTGATTTTTGTAGTATCTCCTTTTAAGAGTGGTGCCCAATTCCCTTTTCCTAGGATCTGAGGTGCTTGTGTTACTGGTGTTGATGACAGAATGTGATGGAAGAAATGGTGAGAGTCCTGAGCCTCGACTCAAGGAATATTCAGTGGCATTGCTTGCATATTCTCATGGACCCTGGCTGTTTGGATGCAGGATGAGACAGTGTATGGGGCTGTCTCAACTTACTTAGCCAAGGCTCCAGACATGTGAGAGAGCCACACACCATCAACACAGCTGCTTAATGGACCACACTGACTGCAGCTCAGATCTGAACTGTCTTGTTTACTGAGTGTTGTGGCACATGCCTGTCATCCCACTGCTCAGGAGGCTGAGGCAGGAGGATCACTGTGAGTTTGAGGCCAGCCTTGGCTACATAGTGAGCTCAAGACTAGCCTGAATTGCATAGTGAAACCCTGTCTCAAAAAACAAACAAACAAACAGCCAGGTGTGGTGGTGCACCCCTGTAATCCCAGCACTTGGGAGGCTGAGGCAGGAGGATTGTTGTGAGCTTGAGACCAGCCTCGGTTACAAAGTGAGCTCAAGGCCAGTCTGAATTGCATAGCGAGACCCTGTCTCAAAAAGACAAAAAACAAACAAACAAAAACAAACAAACAAAAAAAGAACTGCCTTGTTGACTCATAGATTCATGATTCATTTTAAGCCACTAAGTTTGGGGATGGTCTGTTATACAGCACTGCTGGAGGAAATAGGTAACAGATATAAGGGAATTTAGGAAAAGCCTTCATGAGTGCTCAGGCTGGGTCTCCCGGAGAGGCACATGTTTCTAATTTTCAGGAAAATGCCACTGGGGTTAGCTGGGCCTGGGGATCATGCCTGGTGGAGTCTACATTTCCTGTGGATCTCACATAGGGATTTTAACAGACCTAACATGTTTCCCAGAGACACAGGCATTAGGAACTTGTGGAAACCCTCCAGCATGAGCTGCTGGGGAGAAATACACTCATATCCAGATTTCTCCTTGAAGTATATGTTTTCATTTAGACATTTTTACATGGGGTAGGGAGTAGGGCACAAAGAATGTACATACACGGACTCAAAGAGGAAGACTGTGGAAGAGGGGAAAGAACCAAATGGGTTGGAGATTCTTCCCAGAAGCAACACTAGCCATTTGATTGGGATGGGAGAAAAAGAAATCCAAGAGAAAACAGCTTGGAAAACAAGTTGCTTGCACTCTCTGCTCATTTCTCCACTCGCTCTTTGCTTTCAGGTAACTCCTTTCCCTACCTCCAGACACACAGAAAGTGGCCTCTGAGATTCCGAGCATATCCTAGATGTGTCATCCATCCCCAAGTCTGCCCCGCTCACGTGACCTCTTCCAGGGAACAACATTATCACCCATCCAGCTAAGACACCTGGCAATCGGCCACCAAGTCCTGCTCACCCAAGTGCTATCTAAACATTTTGCCCTCTCTGCCACTACCTTAAGGATCCCCTTCCTGCTCTGAGCCTCCCCTGATCTAATCACCTCTAAAGTGAATTTGAGTTCATCCACTGGATCAAACCCTCAATTCTGAGGTGCTGGGATGTAGCTCGTTGGTATACTGCTTGCCTGCCATGTGCAAAGCCCTGAGTTCTATCCCTAGCCTAGCAAAACAAAACCAGAGCTTCCATCCTGCAGCTTGATATTCTTATAACTCCGGTTTTTCCCTAGATCTCTCACTGATTGCTCTCCTCCTGGTGCCCTCCTCAGCTGCAGCCAAGGGCAGCTTCCACGACCCAGGCCTGAAGCTAGGTGTGGGGTATGCCTGTAATACCAGCATTTGGGAGGCTGAGGCAGGTGGATCACTGCAAATTCGAGGCCAGCCTGAACTATATCGGGAGACCCTGTCTCGAAAACAAAAACAAACAAACAAAAAACCAAAACAGGCTCTGTTTGGCGGTCCCAGGACACCAGACTGCAAGCTTTCCTGCCTTCTTCCTGGCTGGGCAAGGGGCCTCCGGATGCTGGCTTGGTGCGGCCAGCGTCTCCTGGCTCATCTGCTGGGGGGGCCACTCCAAGCAGGCTCAGAAAGCAGGTCCTAGCCGCTGGTGTGCTACAATCCCTTAGCAACCAACTCGTGGCCCCCCATCCCCGGGGGCACACAGTAGCACTTTATTCCACCCGCCGCCAGGAGCTCGCGCAGGAAGCCTGCGGGACACCGCAGGGCTGGGGCCGCGAATCCCCCAGGCGGGCAGCCCCAGCTCGCGCGACCCGCAGACGCACTCGGGCATGCGGAGGCCTTGGCGGCTGAGGTAGCTGGAGACCTGTGCGGCGACCAGCCCGCGGCCAGATCTGTCGCTCCGCAGATCAGCACCCCGGACCTCGACGGCGTCCCCGCCGCCCTCTCCGGCGTCGGTCTCTTCGCTCAGGCCGCAGAGGAAGCGGCGTGGCCGCCGTCACCAGGCCAGGGGCGAAGTCATCCCGGAGCTGCGCGGACCCTCGCCGGCCTGCAGGTCGCTGAGTGCTCGCTGAAGGCGAGAGCACAAGGAGGGGTGGGCAGTTAGGGTTCCAGGAGAGACCTGGGTCCCCTGTCCTGCCTCCTCCTCCCACCCCAGGCCGCCAGCGCCCAGGTCACTTACTGGGGCCCTTTCCTAGTCGGGCTTCCAGGAGGACGCCCTTCTGGGGCCTCTGGCCTTGGCTTCCCTAAGAGGCTCTCCCCTAGGCCTCCACCGCGGCTCACCTCGAACTTGCTCATAAACTCCGAAAAGATGCCGAAGAAGGCCTCAGAGGTGGTAGCCTTGGAATCCTCCCCAAAGAAGGCCAGTGCTTTGCCCAGCTCCTCCATGGCCTCCCGCTGCAGCCCATCTAGGGCCCGCAGGGCGGGCTGGGCTGTCTCCAGGAAGGACTGCAGGGCCTTGGTTAAGGAAAGCGCCAACCCACCTGGTACCCTCCCATCCACCTTGTGTATGTATGTGTCAGGGAGGGTACTGGGGATTGAAACCATGGCCTTCACACTGGGCTACATTTCCAGCTCATTTTTTTCATTTAATTTTAAAATGAGAGCTTGCTAAATTGCCCAGGCTGGGATTGAACTTGGGATCTTTCTGCTTCAGCCTCCCAGAGAGTCGTGTGTAAGGCCAGGTGTGGTGGTGAACATCTGTAATTCCAGCACTCAGGAGGCCAAGGTAGGAGAACTATCTCGAGTTCAAGGCCAGCCTGGGCCACATAGTGAGTTCAAGGCCTGAACTGCATGAGACCCTGTCTCAAAAAAAACAAAATGAACAAACAAAACAAAAACTCCCAGAGAATGGTGTGCACCAGCATATCCAGCTGGAGTCAGGATTGGAGCCTAGGCCTGTCTGATCTGTCTGCTCATATCCTTCTGCAGATGCTGCCCTTGAATGGCCATCCATTCTCTCTCTGAGGACCTCCATCTGAACCCACGGAAGCAGGGAGTCCTCCCTTGACTGAGGGGTGCTAGAATGCAGAAGGTTAACCGCTACCTGAATAGCCTGGGTTGCCACGTCTGCAAAAATCTGGGTGCTATGAAGGGATGGGCAGCGAGAAGCACTTAGTACAACCACAGTACTTGCTCAGTGATGATCTACAAGTGAGTGATCCCTCTTGGGTCTCTTGCTTGATAGGAAAGGGGAGGAATCTGATATCAGATTCCTACTTTGGGCCTGGGGTGAAACACAGTGGTAGAACACTTCCCTAGCATGGGGGCTGGGGATTTAGCTCAGCAGCAAAAGCGCCTGCCTGGCAAGCGCAAGGTCGTGAGTTCAGTTCCCGGTACCGGAGAAAAACCAAAAATAAATAAATAAATAAATAATGCCTAGCATGTAGAAGGCACTGGGTTCTACACATAGCACTGAACAACAACAGAAAATCTGCCTGAGTACTTGGCCTCTGCAGGCACTACACACTGGTGTCAGGGACACATGACAGGTGCTTTCCAGGTGGAGCACCTGGCCATGGGCACAGTCCTCAGAGCCCTCTTCCTTGTCTAGATCTAGCATCATCAGGAAAAACCCCGTCTTCTCCTCCAACGGCTAGTGGGGCCCCAGAGAGGGACAGGGAGAAGTGCCACACACCCTTGCCTCCTATCCTCCCCACCTGGACTTGTCTCCTCCTCTGGCCTTGATGCTGGGTCACCCAAAAAGAGATCTGGCCTCAGGGACCCAGATTTGGCATAAGCACTCAGAGTCTAAATGACACATGTTGGCTGGGCTTGGTGGTACACACCTATAGTTGCAGTACTCTGGAAGGCTGAGGCAAGAGAACTGCAAGTTTGAGGCCAGACTAGGGAATTTAGTGACTTAGTGAAACCCTGCCTCAGAATGAAAAAGGGCTCAGTATGAAGATCCTCAGTTTAATCTCCAATACTGGGAGAAAAAAGATGACCTAGGATGGGACCATTTATTCCAAGACTCCTGGACATACAACAGCCTGTTTCCAGATCTCTACTGTATCTTCAGGGGCCAATGGAGCCACAACCAGCTCTACCCAACAACCCCTGGGTCCACCATGGGGCTCAGAGGATACTGCCATGACTACAGCAAACCTGTCCTCACTGGAGGGGGACATGCTTTGGCAGGCAGCCTGTATTTCACTGATGGTACCATGGAGGTCAGCCAGGTCACCAGTCAGGGTACGTTGGTTCACTGTACAGGTGACCAAAGGCTCATGGGCCCACATTCTCAGGCCAGGACAATCTGCCTCCCTTCCCGTCCAACCAGCTTACCTTTGGCAGCCAAGGGCACGGTGGGTAGGTCCTGAGCGAAGCCCAGGAGTTCAGGAAAGTGCTGGCTCAGTGATTTGGCAAGTATGTGCAGAAAAGTGGACTTCCCATCCACCGTCTTGGTGGAGTTCAGCTGCAAGTGACCCCCCCCAACACACATCCTCAAGAGTCCCCTCAGACTCCTGAGTACACAGTCCCAGCTTCTTCTGCACTCTGGCACAAATTCCTGGTCCTTTTTTTTTTTTTTTTTTTTTTTTGAGGTACTTGGAATTGAACCCAGGACCTGCACACTGAGCTGCTTCCCCAGTTCATTTCTAAGTTTTTATTTTGAGATTGGATCCCAAATTGTTAAGCTGCCCAGTCTGGGCTGGAATTGGCAATCCTTGTGCCTCAACCTCTCAGAGTGCTGGGCTTGGTGGTGCACACCTATAATCGCAGGTGACACTACCATGCCTGGCTCAATTCATGGCCTTTGACACTTTTCCAAATCTCCTCTCCCGCTCCACTTTTTCAGACTGTGAGGCTTAGCTGAGAAGCCACCCTTGCCATGCCTATCCCTACCCTTGCTGTACTCACATCCTGGCCTCTGTGCAGCCAGCTTTGCCCCTGGGAGGAGGGCCCTCCTTAGTCACTTGTTCTTTCCTCGCCTCTGTCACAAGTTGAGTTAGGCTTGGCCTCCAAGCCTTAGGCAGACTCAGTTTCTAGTTACCCCTGAATGGTTCTCACCTCTGTCAGAAAGTTTATCTTGAAGCCTGTGGTCTTGTTGGTCTTGGGCTGGCTGTCATTGAGATAGTTGCCCATGGCCAACACAAACTGTGGGAAGGAGGGTGGGTGGATGGTACCCAGGTGTTCACAGAGATCCCCACCCACCCACCTCAACCCGGGTATTAGGATGGATCTCCAGGCTGGAATCCCCAGCACAGAGGGGTGGGGTGAGGCAACCAGGAAAGCGATGCATCCTGACCTCCAGAATCTTGGCGAGCTTCCGGCTGTTCTTGAGCTCCAGGGATGCCTGTCGCAAACACTCCAGGCTGCCTCGGATCTCCTCTGTCTTCTCCTGGAGGGTGGCCTGGAAGTGGAGGCTTCGCAGGCGGGTCTTGTATTCAGGGACTGACAGCATCTGCCACAAAGGCGGGACCAGGATTCATCCATTCCCCCACCAGCCTGGCGTGGGGCTCTGCTGGGTGCCTGGGCCTGCTACACCTTTAGGAAGAGTAAGCCCGGTCCCTAGGGGACGCTGTCGTCCCATCTACTTTGTCCTGGGTGGAAACTGGTCATTTAAATTGTTAAACTAACTGGGTGTGGTGGCAAACATCTGTAATCCCACCACTCTGGTGAACTGAAGCAGAAAGATTGAGACTTTGAGCCCAGACTGGGCAATTTAGCATTTTAGTGAGACCCTGCCTCAAAATTAAAAATAAAAGGTGGGGGAAGCGCTGAGGATGTAGCCCAGTCCCAAAGCCCTGGGTTTAATCCTCAATACTGAAAACAAAAACCAAAAAACCAAATGTGTTAAAGTGAACTCGGGCCTGAGAGCGTTAGCGGTATACCGAGCCGAGGGAATTCGAAACACAGGCAGCCGCAGCCACAGCGGTAGCCCTGACGGAGGCGGGGTCGCGGGCGCGGCACCTGCAGGACGAACTGGTCTGGCTCACTGAGGCGGCCAGGTGCCTCGCGGAAGGCCTGGTAGCGCTGCTCCTCGTCGGCGTCAGGCGCGAAGAGCAGCAGCTGCGCCAGATGTGCGGGCTCCAGGCGCCGGGGCTCCATGCTCATAAGCACCTGTCGCAGCTCAGCGGGGCTCAGTTTCAGGTGCGCCAGGAGGATGGCTGTGGGCGGAACCGCGAGTGAGTGGGGCGGGGCCAGTGGGCGGGCCCGGGGCTTAGGGCGGGGTTACTGGGTGGAATCCGGCGAGAAGGACGCCCGAGAGGAGGTGGGGCCTGCTAGAGACCCGGCGTGGGTAGTCCCCAAGCCCGTCTGAGACTGATTTAAGGGGTCCTAACTTTTATTTATGTATTCGTGGTGCTAAGGATCGAACCCAGACCCTGCGCACGCAAAGCCACATCCCCAGCCTAGAGAAGCAAGAAGCTACATGGAGCCAGAGCCTAATAAAAGGTCTTCGAGGAACAGAGGATGTGGTTGGAGGCAGAGCCAGAGCTGGGGAAATGATTGCAGAGGGCAGGGCCAATGCAGGGTGGAGCCAAGGCTCACACCTGCGCCCAGGTGGGACCGCGTAGCTATAGGGGTTAGAAAGGGCTTTCAGCCAGCTCGGCAACGGGTGTCCAGGCCTTCACAGCCTAATCGCTGCCATCCACCCAGGTGGGTCACAGGCTCTGTGGCCCAGACAGAAGAGGCACCACCCACTCCTAGAATCCCTGGGATTCTCTGCCTCTTACAGGTGTTGTAGGCCTTCTTGTGGGACAGGATCTCCACCACTTCCTTTTTCCTGAAGGGCTCTGGCCCGGGCATAGGCTCTGGAAGGGAAACCAGACAGTTCAGTGCTTGGGCTTAGGGCTGCCCCGGCAGGGCCCGGAAGAGGTGTGGCCTCAACCAATCAAAGGCCAAGGATCCCTCCAAGCACCACCTTGTCTGAAATCAGCTCCGGTGTCCAGACTCCCCTCATTCTTAGCCTTCCACCTGAGGATGCCTAGGTCCAGTTCAATACACTTAGTGGGAGAGGAGTCCATGCCCCCACTGCCACCTCCTCAAATGCTCTCTCTCTCCCTGGGCTTGGGGACTGAGCTGGCAAAGCAATGAAAACCAACCATCTCTTGACCTTTTAGATGATTGATTCTTGAATGGAAAGGCCTTTCTCCTTTACACTGAGATCACCGACCACATACAATAACCTTGGCTGCTTGGCATCCCACCCAACCACTCTAGAGAGATGCTCAGAAGTGGGAGAGGAGAGAGGGAGACTGGAAGAGGTATTTGTAGATGGCTTCTGTCCACCCTATTCTGGCTATGTGATTGTGTGCAAGTCACCCAACCTCTCCGTGTTTCCTCATTAGGAAGTGGAGGCAATCTTGGAATCTACTAGTAGAGTCCTCAAGGGATTAATTTGGGAGTGACAGCATCTGCCATTTGGTGAGCACACTGAACATCTGCCAGCCATTATTATGATCTCCAAACTTTGAGATGGGAAAAATTGAGGGCTTAAAGGCTCAGAGACATATTAGGTAAACACTGGTCAGTGCAGCCCCTGGGGACTCTAAGCCAGAGGATGACATGGACCACGGTATCTGGACTTTCCCCAGGGCCTGATATGAGGCCACTCACTGACAGGTTTCTGGGTGCCGAAGTGGAGCTCCAGGTCGAGGTATTTCACCATGTCACTCAGCTTATCATAGTCCGAGTCTTCCCCGAGCTGTGAGAGAGCATGGGAAGCTCAGAGCCGGAGGAACAACCATAGCTAAACTGCCCTCCCCTGCCTAAACCCCCTATGAGGATTGTCCTGGGAGGTTCTGGGGAGAGGGTACCCATCAAACCCAGGGATGAAGCCAAGAGCAGGAGGAGACTGCAGGAGAAGCTAAGTCATCCAAATTATCAGGCAAGGTACCAGCTTCTCTCTCTTTTTTTATACCAGGAATCGAACTCAGGACCTTGCGCTTGCCAAGCAAAGCACTGAGCTATATCCCCGGTCCTGGGACCAGCTTCTCTTGTGGTGAATAATGCAGCAATCTTGGAACCCTATGCATGCAGAAGCAGGCTACAGAGCTGGGAAGGGGCTGGAGGCCACCAGAAGTTCTCAAGAGGGTGGCTGAGGGATCCGGCCCTGTTTGGAGGCCTCCTCTGCAGCCTGGGAAGGTAAGGATAGCCTGGGACCAGGAAAAGGCTGATCTATCACCAGGTAGATGGAGTGGCCTCAGGCAAAGGATGGGATCTTCTGTGAGCAGAGCTGGCGTTGGGGAACCTGAAGCAGGGAAAGGCCAGGAGCCAGAAGCTGAACAGGGGGCTGAGACAGTCTAGGCAACAATCTGGAATGGCTAACTAGGACTTGGACAAGGATGAGGATGAGGAAATTTCCAAGGGAGAGATCCCAAAGGGAGAGAAGGGAGATAAATGAAGTCTATGAATGTGTCTGCAGGGCAGGAATGTGTGGTATGGATTTGGGATGTGGCCAGACGTGTGACCTGTGTCCTGGTGCAGTGGGACCACTACACTGTGGAGTGAAGTGTGAGGACTCATCTAAATCTTGCAGGAGTGAGGTCCCCAGGGGACCCAGGCTGTGGGTCTCTGTTCATGGCCTTGACCTACCGAGAACCTGTGTTAGCAACACAGAAAAGTGCCCTGAAGATACAGGCTGATACCATCTTAGCTGAAGGAGGAGACAAAATTAGGATTCAGGAGATGGCGATGAGGAAAAATGACAATCACTTTCTCTCTCCCCTGCACCGTGTGGCCACATGAGAGTGTGCTATTGGTCCCAAGATGAAGGGACTGAGGTTGAGGATAATGGTAACCATGAACCCTGAGATAAGGGAGCCCCAGAAGCTAGGGGATCCCAGGCCATATTAAAAGGCATATGGTGTCTAAGTCAAAGGAGGTGAGAACTCTGTTCTCTCTTATCTGATCAAGCCCCACTGGGAATTCCTTTTGGGACTTGCTCTTTGACACAGACACTGCCACTGGAGTGTGGGGCTAGCAAACACTTTCTAATGACCCAAAGAACAGGTATAGGGTGAATCTTCATTTCACAGATTGGCCAGTGATGGATAAACGAATATAGTTCTGCTTGATTTCAAGGACAAGACAGGAAACAGGACACAGGAATCTTGGGCAGACAAGACTTTGGAGCAACACAAAGAAGTATGGTTACAGTTGTGAAGCGAGGGATGGAAGCTCTTGACGGTTGGTGAATTCCCCACCTCTGAAGGTACTCAAGCACTGGATGGGTAGCACTGAGTGGGAGGAGACTCAAGCATTGCCATGGAAGCATGGAAACTGACATGCAGTTTAGATCAGCTGTCCTTTTAAGAGCCTAAAGAATTAGCCTGGCCTCGAGAGTGTGGCATTTCCAGATGTCCCCAGAGTGTCTTTGGGCTAGGGATGCAGACTGGCTTCCACTCCTGTATAGATCAGCAGGAGTGCACGTGTCCTGGGGCTGGGCCTCCACTCTTCTGTACAGGTGGTGAGGACCAGGGAATGTTCCAGCGGACGGCTTTCTTTTCAATGCAGCTGCCCAGGCTACCCACTTTAGATCAGGGCCCTCATGGGCCCAGGTCACTTACCTGCCCCCAGATGGTGCCTTCCGAGTTCTCTACTTGTTCCCACCTCAAGCGTTTGACGCTCATGTGGCTGGTCTCACTGCGCCGGTGACCCAGGCCCCGGGATAGCATGGGGGGTGCGCAGGGCACAGGCGGGGGCAGGGGTGGGGGAGGTGGGGGCGGAACTGGGTGGCTGAGTTGGGTAAGGGGCTTAGCCAGGGCCTGAGCGGGGCCCCGGGGGGCATCGGCGGTGCGGGAACTGGGCTTGGGGTCGTGGAAAGGCAGGGGTGGTGGCGGTGGGGGGCTGAGCGGCGGCGGAGGGATGTGGTCCGAGATGGAGGAATAGGTCAGGGAGCTGCCCTCTTCGCTGCTGCTGATACACTCGCTAGCGCTGCTCCGCTCGTTAGTGACGAAGCTGCCCTGGTCATCGTGGAAGCTCATCTAGGGGGACAGCAAATGAAGGAAGGGCATGGCTGTACCCAGAGAGTCCAGAGCAGGCTTGAGAGGGTGGCATTCTGGGCAAGGGAAGGATAGTGGGATAGCCTAGGGCCGGGGTAAGATAGTATGGTGAGTTAGCCTGTAGATGGGAGAGTCTGGGAGGGTGGAGGATAGCCTGGGACCAGCAACAGGCTGATCCAAGCCAGGCTGATGGGGTAGCCTCAGGCAAAGGATGAGATCATCCGCCAAGAGGAACAGAAGAGCCTGGTGGCTTAGCCTGAGGCTGTGAGTGGGTAGCCTGGGATGAGGAAGGGGTAACCTGAGACACACTCTATATAGGAAGCGTTAGGCAAAGGGCAGGATAGTCTCTAAAAGGAGATGAGGTACCCTGGAGGAAGCCTTGGGGTAGCTCCAGCCAGGGACTGGGATAGCCTGGGACAAACTGTAGGATGAATGGGAGCAGGTGGGGAGTTAGCATGAGGCAGATCTGGAGGAAAGATGGCCTCCCCCCGGCAGGGGAGAACTGAACCCAAATCTTTCACACTGAGCTGTATCCTCAGGCCTTTTTACTTTTTATTTTGAGATAGGAGCTCACTAAGTTATTAGGTGGCCCAGGCTGGGCTTGAATGTGCAATCCTCCTGCTTCAGCCTCCCTGAGTGCCGGGATTACAGGTGTGCACCACCATGCTCAGGTCTGCAGCAGGCCTCTTACAGAAACAGCAGCACTACTCTCCTAACAGAGTCCCAGCCCCGTGTGCATGCTCACCTCCTCATAGTCATTCTCGGGCGTGAGGAAATCATCCACGACGGTAACCCGGGGGCCCAGCTGCTCACTCAGCACATCCAGGAAGCGATCTGTGTCCCGGCTCCGCACAGGGTGTGCAAAGGTGAAGAGCTTCCGGCGGCTGGATGGCCGGGCCAGGTCCGGACTCGGGGGGCTGTCAGGGCAGGTGGGCCCAGGGCCTGGCTGAGGGGAGGGCGCCCTGCTGCTGTCCAGGCTGGCATAGGGGTGAGATTCAGAGCTGCTGGGGGAGGCCAGGTCCCCTGAGCACAGTGGGTCGTAGCAGGGGGAGGGCAAGAGCCGCTCGCTGGGCCATGAGATGTTGGACAGAGTCCTGGGCGCTGCGTGGGAGATGTGGGAAATGGAATGTGAGGACCCTCTTCAGACAACATCTGAGTTCTTGGAGCAGGCAGGAGGGGAGGGCCCAGGGTGGGTGGTCTCTGCATACTGGACGTTACTCTTTCCCTCTGAGCAGCACAGAAGACCCTGGATGACCCTGCCACCCATCATCTTCCCTAAGGGTGACTAGAGGGCAGAACTAGTGGCAGGGAGGACACCACTTGGTCTCAAGTCAGGCCAGACCCCAGCTCCTCTGGGAACAGATCCTAGGAGTCTCACCAGGGACCCAACTCAAAGGAGTGAAGGGTTTTCTCTAGGCCTCGGGTAAGGGGTAGGAGGCATCTCCCACACCCAGGAAACCATCTTCCCACCTGGGCCACTCACAGAGCATTGCATGCACTTCATAGTTTATCCAAGAGCCACCAGCTAACCCGGGCACTTCCTTGGGGGCAGTTCTGTGCTTTTCCAGATGGATAGCAGGGGTGAGGACCACAGGGCACCAGAGGCTAGGACAAGCCTGGCCATGATGATTCCTACCCATGCGTGGAGGTCTCTGGGGTCCCCCACAGCCCAGCACAGAACAGAGAGGAAGCTCCAAGGGTGTGCCCAGGGGTGGGGATGACACTCAGATAAACAGCCATAAAGACAGAGGCCAGGACACCCTGAAGACTCAGGCCTTACCTGCTGTGCCTACCAGGCTGGGGACTGGTGGGGAGGCCCGGGATTTGGACACGGTCCCCATCTTCCCCTTGAAGCTGCTGTTCAGTCGAGACTCCAGCTCTGCATAGACAGCTGACATCTGGGGGAGGAGAGTGAGTCCAGCCAGCACCCCCATGTGGCCCCAGCAGGGCCTCAGAGGCCAAGTCTGGGTATTTGGCTCAGGTCTGAAGTAGCCACAAGGGTGGCCTGGCCTGGGGTGAGCACCGCCCCATGGGCCACCCAATCCCCACACATATTGACCCCACCTAGAAGGCAGGGGGAACGGCTCACCATCTTGGGGTTGGGGGTCTCAGGGAGGGATGTGCCATCACCAGCCTGGCGCTCGCCTGGGATCAGAGGAAGAGGCATCTCAGGGAAGTCACTGGGACCTGCCAGGAGGGTACCATGGAGATCTACTTACCATATCTGAGCTTTTGTTTTCTTTTGTGGTGTCAGGCATTTGACCCAGGGCCTTGCACTGAGCTACATCCCCAGCCCCACCCCCCATCCCTTTTTTACATAGTGGGTTTTGCTAACTTGCTAAGTTACTCAGGTTGGGAATGAACTTGCAACTCTCCTGCCTCAGCCTCCCAGTGCTACAATTACAAGTGTGTGCCACCATGTCCAGCTTCTACATTTGAGCCCTAAGACTCAAGGCTGGTGCAGACTCAACAAGCTCTGAAGGTCCAGAGAGGCCACTGCCCAGCCTTGCTAACTCCTAGTCCCTTTGATTTCTCATCTCACCAAGCCCATTCTGGGGGTGGGAAAACTGAGCCCCTGCCCTATCTCCCACTTGCGGCACTTCCCATCAGGGCCTTACCGCAGCTCAGGCTGGCCTCCAGGCCCTGGGATCTGAGGCTGCGGCGGCACATGGAGGAGGCCCTCAGGGAGCTCCGCGGCTGGGGCTCTGGTGTCGGCTCTGGCTCCAGCTCAGGTTCAGGCTCTAGATCCAGCTCAGGCTCAGGCTCTGTGGGAGATGCGACACTTGTCTTCTATGCCTCCACAAGCAAGGAGGGTGAGGGCAGAAATCAGCTGCAGCAGTATGAGGCCCTTCCCCGCTGGTGCCAGGACATTTCTCTTGGGGAAAAGCAGGGACCAGAAACCAGGAACCTGAGGATGGGGGCCCCAGTTGGGAGGTCCTAGCCCTCTTCCCAGCAAGGCTCATCTCAGGACCCCGTGTTCCCAAGGTCCTAATGTCCAGTGCTGGACCAAGCTTGTCACTGCTACTCAGTGGAGCTTGCTGGGCGAAATGAAAGGTTCCAGGCCTAGGCGGATGTGTGGGAAGAGTGCTGCCCAGCTTGGACTCTGAGCTTCTTGCTGAAGCCCTCACTCTCTTCAGCAAATTGTGGGCACCCAGGACTAGGGACACTGGGTACCAAGGGCCAGTAAACAGCAGATCTGCAGGGACTCCCACAGCAGGTGCAGACTGCCGGTGCAGGAAAATTCACAGGATTTAATGTCACTTCCTTTCACCAGGTGTCAACATGAAGTGCATGGTTTTGTGGGCACACTCTCACTGGGAGGCAGCACATGTGTGTGCTGTGTGCTGGAGCCCACCATCTGTCATGGCCCGACCACGTGGCCAGAATCCAGGTGGCATGGGGCTGGCATATCTACAAACAGTGATCATGTGAGTTTTCTTTCTTTCTTTTTTCTTTCTTTCCTTCTTTCTTTCTTTCTTTTTCTTCTTCGTCTTTTCTTCTTCTTCTTCTTCTTCTTCTTCTTCTTCTTCTTCTTCTTCTTCTTCTTCTTCTTCTTCTTCTTCTTTCTTTCTCTTTCTCTCTCTCTCTCTCTCTCTCTCTCTCTCTCTCTCTCTCTCTCTCTCTCTCTCTGTCTCTCTCTCTTGCAAAATAGGGTCTAGCTGTGTAGGTCAGGCTAGCCTTGAACTCACTATATAGCCCAGGCAGGCCTCAAACTCATGGTGATCCTCCTTCCTCAGTCTCCCAAGTGGTGGGATTACAGGCATGCATCACCATGCCTGCCCCAGCCCTTTTTTTAATTTTTATTTTGAGACAGGGCCTCAATAAGTCATTAAGTTACCCAGGCTGGGTTTGAACTCACAATCCTTCTGCCTTAGCCTCCCAGAGTGCTGCCGTCAATATGAATTTCTCCACCCACTACTTACTTGCCAGGGTGCACAGCACAGCCACTGAGATTACTCTCACTTTGTGCATGAGTCTCCTGAGGCCCCAGGAAGTGAGGGCGGAGTCTTAAGTTTTAGATTATGCTGCGTGGAGGTCAGGCCGTACAGGCACATCCTCAAGGCCAAGCATGGACCAAGCCCCAGTGTGCTGAGTGTATATTTGCTTGACACGTGGGCACATCTATTGTGGGAAGGGCAGGGTCAGCTTTGAGACCTCACAGATAAGAACAGGTGTCTGTTTACCTGCTGGGCTGAGCAGCTGGCAGCCACCTGAAGAGGAGGGGGCAGGAGAAAGGGATGCTTACCTGTCATGGCTGTGTAGCCCAGGAAGCATGCAATCTTCTCCTGGCAGAGCTCCTGCTCCTCATAGGTCAGCAGCTGGTAGATGAACTGCCAAAGCACCTGCTTGGCAGGTGTGTCCAGCACTGGGTAGACATCGACGATGAGGGTGTCGATGTTCCTGGGAAGGGTACAGGAGCAAGGGGCTTGAATCAGGGGTGCCTGGTGTTGGGGATGGGTGAAGTGGCACTTCTGGGCCACAGAATTTGGCCTCTGCTCCAACCTCAAAAGAAGCGCAGTGGACAGGGTAGGCAGACTCTGGGAACAGGCTGCTTAGCTTTAAGTCCCAGCTCTGCTGCTTACCAGCTAAGTGACCTTTTTCAAGTTACTTAACTTCTCTATGTCTCAGTTTCTTCATCTGTCAAGTGGGGATAAAAATAGCATCTATCACATAGAGCTGTTATGAAGATTAAAACATAAAAAGTGCATTGGGAACATGGACTCACTGTATCATGGACTAGCAGATAATAGCCCAGGGGCTAAAATCTGGTCCATTACCTGGTTTTTGTCTGTTTTGAGACAGGTCTTGCTTTAACTCACTATGTAGCCCAGGCAGGCCTCAAACTTGCAGTGACCCTTCAGCCTCAGCCCCTCCACTGCAAGTACCGGATTATAGGTGTGCACCACCACACCCACCTAGAAAGTTTTACTAAAATATGATCACAGCCATTGTTTATATTTTATCTTTGGCTGTTTCCTAGCTACTATAGCAGAGTTGAGTAGTTGTTATGGAGGCCCACATGGACCACAAAGCCTGAAATATTTACTACAGAATTTGGTACATAGAAACATATTGCTGACTCCTGCAATCTATGGGAAAATATAACTGGATTTCTTTTTGAGACAGAGTCTTGCCATGTGGTTCAGGCTGGTCTTTAACTCACTGTAGCCAAGGCTGGCCTTGAACTTGCAGCAATCCTCGTGGCTCAGTCTCCCAAGTGCTGGGATTATGGGCATGTACCACCACACCCAGCTTCTAAACTGGATCTTTACCTAACACCACATAGAAGTGAACTCTGGTTGTCTGAATGGTAAAATTATGAAATTAAGAGAATATTCTTGTCCTAGAAGTGGAAAAGGACTTAAAACATGGTGAGTTTGATTATACAAAGTTCAGGACATTTGTTCAAAGAAGTACAACCTAGACACATTAATATTAGGTACAAACAGAAGCAACAGAAATAACAAGTGGAATAAGATATTTATAATATCCCAAATCAAGGAGCTGGGTATAGTGGCACACACCTGTAATCCCAGCACTCTTGGAGGCTGAAGCAGGACTGCATATTTGAGCCCACCCTGAGTAATTTAGTGAGAACCTGTCTTAAAAATTAAAAGTAAACAAATAAGGGCTGGGGGTACAGCTCAGCGTGAAGATGCTGGGTTCAATTTCCAGTACCCTGCCTCCCCACCAAAGACTACCAAAAATAAAAAGATGGCTAGTACTTCAACCAATGAGGATTTTGGATGAAGACCTAAACATGGGCAGAGCTAAACACAGTACCTGGCGGCAAATTCAGGTACAGAAGGCAATGCAATAATGTAAAAGGCAATGCAATAATGAAACAATGATGTAAAAGAAAAATACATCATATCAAATAGCAATGCACACTTTACATGAACACCTTCAAACAAACAAATCCCCAGGAAACTTACCAAACTAGTGCAGAGAAAGTGGAGAGAAACTACACCCCAAAGAGAATGAGGTTAGAACTACTCTCATGTCTATCACTAGACAAATGGATGAACAGAATGTGGTACAGCCATATAATGGGACATGTAAGGGAATGAAGTACACAATAACTCAGATAAACCTTGAACACATGGTGTTAAACAAAAAGAAACAAGAAACAAAAAATAAAATATGATGCTAAGTGAAAGAATCCAGGCATCAAAGTCCGCATACTATATGATTCTATTCATATGAAAGTCCAGAATAGGAAAATCTACAGAGACAGAAAGTAGGCTAGTGGCTGCTTAAGGTCAAGGGGTGGAGATAAAAGAAGTGTTCATGGAGATGTCATAGTGAAAGGCATGAGCTTTTTTATGTGATGAAATTCTAAAATCAACTGGTGATTGCACATAGTTAGGTGTTTTTGTGTGTACATGTGTGTTTCGTTGGTTTTGGTTTTTTGAGAAAGGGTCTCAATATATAGTTCAGGCTGGCCTTGAACTCACAGCGATCTTCCTGCCTCAGCCTTCCAAGTGCTGGGATTACAAGCATGTGCCATCATGCCTGGCCCAATGATTGTACATATTTATGAATTCACCAAAACCTTTGAACTGTACACTTAAATGGGTCAAGTGCAGAGTATGGAAGGGCAGGGGGTATGGCTCAGTAGTAAAGTGCTTGCTTAGTATGTGTGTGTGAGGGAGGCAAAATAATAGGGAATGAAGGAGTGAGGGGCTTGGCACAGACCATAATGACTCTACGGGCTGAGGAAGGTGGTAAATGCAGCCTGCTGTAGCTGCGGTGTAGAAAGATCCCCTTATCTTCACCCCAAGGGCCTGGCCCATGGCCAGTCCCACAGGCAAGGCTCTCTTGAGGTCCTTGCCTCTCATTTCCCAGAGAGGGCTATGAGTTTCCCAGGGTTTGTCCTAGGGCAGCCCACTGCCCCTCCCACCTCCCCTAGGATACCTGGTACCAGCTACTCCTGAAGCTTCCCCCAAGAAAAAGAGCTAAGAAGGCTCAGTCAAGGGAGACCAGGATGGGAAGTCTGGTTAGGACCTGTGGCCCAACCAGGACAGAGCCCCGCCACCATCCCTCCTGGCCACCTGTGCTGGAAGAAGCTCTCCAAAGCTCGGCAGATCCCATAGCGCTCAGGAGGTGTGAGCAGGTGCTCCAGCTGCTGGCTGAATGTCCTTCCCTGGACCCGGATGCTAGATGGCAGGATCTCTGCTACCCACTGCAGGGAGGTGAGCGCCGAGGATGGGTTGGGGGAATCCAAAGAATCGGAGTCTGCTGGGACCAAAGACAGGGGAAGCACGGTTGATCCAGAGTCCCCCGTCCAGGGGCAGTTTTCCTAGCAGCTCCAAACAGGATGGAGGAGAGCCCTGGGCACTGTGGCTCTATAGCATCACCTGGGGGCAGCCCTGGGAAGAGAAGCTGCAGGTGTGGGGGAAGAGCATAGTGTTCTGCAGACTGGTAAGTCTCACATTTGTGGGCCGAGGAAGCATGGGAGCCTCACCGCTGGCGAATGGGACGAGCCCTTCTTCCACCACCAGTGTGGGCATCGCGCCGCTGCCTTGCAGCATGGACACCACCTTGTCGTGGGAGCAGTTCCTGCCAAGCAGAAATGGCCCAGAAAGGAATGATGGGTAAGCCTTGTCCACGGCCACCAGCCAGACCTCCCTGTCCTGCCCACAGTGGCCATGCAGCAAGCCAGCCAGATCAGCCAGGACCCTGCCTCTCCTGCTTGGTAACCTCCTGTGCAAGAGAAGCCCCAGGCCTTAGCCAACCTAGCTTTCTGCTGGTCTGGGCTCCCTGGGCATAGAAGGAGGGATGTCTTGTCATCCCCAGGCAGAGCTCCCCTCCCAGAGCAAGATGCAGATGGTCCCTTCAGCTCTGTCTCCCCAGCATGGGACTGGAATATTTTCTGGTTGGAAGGATGAACTGAGGTCATGGCCAGGCAGGAGGGGGTTGAAGAGTTCCCAGTAGAAGAAGACAGATGCTTGGGGTCAAAGGGTCAGAGGAGTTTGGGAAGCTGGCTTGGGTCCCAAAGGGCAAGAGTCCTGGGGGATAGTTCATCATCAAGCTCTGACATCCCCAGTATCCTCTGACCTCATGTCCAGTCCATTGAGGAAGAGGATCCGGTCACCTGACTTGAGGGCCGCATTGTCAGCTGGGCTGCCTGGAAGTGAGGACAAAGGGTGTGCTGGTCAGCAGGGCAAGGCCGTACGCTATTCTCCTGTTCTACAAGTGAGGAAAGGGCGGGAAAGGACTTCCCTCTAAGCACATCTTTCCCAATCTGTTGGCCTCATCATGCCTGAGTAATACCAAAACCTGTATTTTAAAGCTTGTGGGAGCAGCTGGGCGTGATGGCACAGGCTTGTAATCCCAGCACACTGGCACGGTGAGGGAGGAGGACTGTCAGTTCAAGCCCAGCCCGTGCAACTCAGGGACTTAGTGAGACCCTGTTGCAACAAAAAACAAAACCAAAAAACCTACAATGTAGCTCCGTGTGAAGACCTTATGTTCAATCTCCAGTATCTCAAAGAAAACAAAATCACAATAAAAAACAAGTCAGACGTGGTGTCACATACCTGTAATCCCAGTACTTGGGTGGCTGAGGCAGGAGGATTTACAGCGAGTTTGAGGCCAGTGTGGGCTACAAAGTGAGTCCAAAGCCAACCTGAACTACATAGCAAGACTCTGTCTCAAAACACTAAAACCAAAGCAAACCAAATCACATGGGAACAGCTAATTCTCACTCTCTTTCTTGGTCACCCTAGAAAGAAGGCTGGTAAATTGGCTCCTATAGATAGAATTTTTTATTTCTTCCTTTTTTATTGGTCCTCACACTAAATTTGACTTGGAAACATGTAGGGGAAATGATAAGTGCTTAAATAAAATATACTCTCAGATGGTAAAACATTCACTTCTGAGGCTGTGGAAATTGTCTGGAGAGGAACAGAATAATCAGAGAAGCCTTCCTGGGAGAGGTGGGTTAGGGTAAGTTTGTTCCTTGAGATTGCAAAGAGAGAGAGGGTCATAGTGGTGGTTAATCCAAGATGGCCTGCCTGGAAGTGCTGCAGTTCCTTGAGCCTCTTTCTGACCCTACAGTCAACAGTTTAGTGATCCTTACAGCTGAAAAGAACTGCAGCCTGCCAGTTATCAGAAGCAGGTCTCAGAATGATCCAAAGACTGGAATGATAGGGCAAAGCACTGTGGCACTTTTCCATCTCACAGGCGATGTGAGAGGCAGCAGGGTGTTGATGGGGATGTACAAATAGGAGCATCATGCTCAGGTTCTAGGAGGGATGGATGCAGGACAGAGCAGGTGACTTAACCTTGGTTGGTTACAAGGAGGGGGAGTTCAATTCAATGTCAGCAGAAGTGTCTTTCCCACTGTGATCTCCTACAGTGGAAATAAGTGACCCCTCTACCTCCACTCCCCTGGAGGGGAAGGAAAGGATTCCTACATGTGGAAGCTTCTGCTATCTTCAAGATGCCATGATTCCAGGAGCAAAACAGAGTAGGTTGCTTGGAAGGAGATAGGGAATCCAGATTTGGGGAGCAAGGGCTGGTGGGTGGGCAAGGCCCTGAGGCCCTGCCACCTGAGTCCGGCCTGCCAGCAAGTGCCCAGGTCACAGTGGTCTCTCTGCCCAGGGCTCAGCTCAGGCAGGTACTAGCACTATTCTAGCAGCTCCAGTGTCCCAGGAAGTGGCCACAGCCCTCCTAGTGGATAAAGAAAGGTCTGGGTGAAGAACTTGGCTCATTTGACTTGGAGTGACAGTGAACTTAAGAGATACCAGAACTCAGACCTCAGGATTCAAGTATCTTGGAAAGGTGACTGATTTGGAGGTGTGGCTCTGGGACACTCAGAGAGTGGCTGGCTACATGAAATCCATACCTGCTAGAGGTGGTGGGGTGCTGCTGAGCAGCAATCTGCATGGGTAGAATTACCAGGGAGTGCTACAAATGCCTTCACCTCCTCCTGGGCTTTAGGAACTCTTAGGATAACCTGCTCAGTCCTTACCAGGCAGGACAGACTCAATCCAGACAGGACCGTGGCCACGCAGTGTGAATCCAAAGCTCTTATTGCCCTTGTAGACTCGGACAGTCCTGGGAAGAAAGAAGGGGCAGGGTGGGACGCGGGAGAGGGGTTCCAGGATGCAGGGGATGGTATGTCCCATAGCCCACTCCTCTGACCACCCGCCCCCAGATGCCCACCCTCCATGCCCTCTGCCCACTCCCCCATCCCCAGCCTGTGTCAGAAGGGCGTCGACATTCAGCGCCCTCGCCCCGGGTACCTGCGCGTGCTCCCCGGGCCGGCACGGCCGCCGAGCAGCGAGGCAGCTTTGCGCGGGGGCGGCTCGTCCGGGCGGCGCGGCGCGGCGCTGGCGCGAGTGGACACTAGGAGGCGCTCGGGCCGCTCCTCACTGCGGCTCCGTCGCAGCCTTTGCGCGCCCTGTGTCCGGCGGGCGCGGCACAGCTTGCCCAGCAGGCCCTGTGACACCACCTCGTCGAAGCGCGCCCGGTGCTTCTTGGGGATGAAGATCCTGCCGGCGAGGACCGCAGAGTTGGGGCGCGCCCCCAGACTGCGTCCCAAATACAGTCCAAAGTTGCCTTTTCACAGGGCGCCACTCTGTCCAAGGGTGGTGGGGGAATCCGCAGCCGGCATTCAGTCTCCCACTCTGTGTCCGGGTTTGTGTTCCCAACCGTCTGGGGCCACACCAAGTCCGTGGCGTACTGCTTGCTCCTCTTCGGGAAGTCAGGATCATACTATCTTGTATTACCCTGGTCTCTGTGGGGCCTCAATGATCCCAAAGCCAGTCCACGGACTGGCTCCTCTCCTGGCCTCTGTCTTTCTCCGCCTGCCTCTCCCCCACTCCCTCCTCTCACGCTTTGCCCCTTCCAGACCAAGCCCCAGGCACCTCCTGTCTTCCTGCCTGCTTCTTTGGCCAGCGGTGTCTACAGCTGCGTACTTGGAATTTGCCAGAAATATCACATTGTCTCCTTCAGTCCCACCTCTAAGCTTTTGCCCAGGCTGTTGCCCCTACCTGCTCCACTCTTTTTGCACCCTTAGCTAAACAGCGCTGCCCTCTCACACCCAGTACTCCCTTCAATGTCATCCTACATGCATTTAGTGAGCCAGGCACTGGGGCTCAAAGCTCAAGGGCCTGTGGCTCCTCCTCTCCAAAGAGTCACCCTGGAACTGATGGGGGAGGGATGGCCTCCATGCAAAGTCACACCTTGGGATGCATCCTAGGGTCTCCTCTGTGGGGGAGAGAGCACTACGAAGGCTGGGTCTGCATCTGGGCTGTGAGCCACAGTGCTAACTAAACCAGGGCTTGGCTCCTGGAAGGGACTCCGTACCCAGCACATCTGCCAGCAGAGCAACTACATCATCTCTGCATAACAAGAGCAGCTAACATCCTGGTGGACTTTGTGATCCATAGCAGAGGGTTCTGAGGCACGGCGGCTGCTAGGGTTGTACAGCTGGCTGGCCTCTGGCACAGCTGGAATGATAGCCTAGCTTTCTGAGCATCAGCACTGCGCAGGAATTCTGACAGTAACAAAACCTCCCTGGCTGCTTCCCAAGGCTCCCTTCCCGTTCTTTGTAACAAGAGCCAGTGCCAAGGGCATGATGGGTAGGGGAGAGAGAGGAAAGCAATGGCCTTGTAGCCAGCTGAGGCACACCCGTCTCTGAGGTTGCCCTGAGACTCCATACAGCGCCCCCTCACGGGTAGGATAAATAAGGCCAGGCAGGACAATCTGCCTAGTGTGGAAGAGGTGTAGGTCCTCCCAGAGGGGGTATGCTGGCCCTGTCCCAAAGCAAGGTCTGCTCCAAGTCTGGACACTCCAGGTGACCAGGATGCCAGAATGAATGACCCACTAAGTTGTGCCAGGAGTCCTTCTCTGCCCATCCACAGTTATTCCCACAACCTGCAGCCTCTGCCTCTTTCCCCAGATGGTCACTGGAGGTCTTTGGAGCCTGACATCTTCATCTGCCTCCTTTACACCTTACCCACACCCTCCTACTCTTCTTGCCTCATGCCCAGCAAAGGAGGGATGATGAGCCTGAGATTGTCCTATACTTGGGGCTCCAGAAGCCAGTTCTGCAAGGTGTCAACCCCATACAGCCAGACCCTGAGTCCAGTACAGGCAGGGGTCTAGTGACCAATCCTGCTCCAACCTCCAGCACCAAGATTGGTCTCCCTGCTGGGAACCAGGCTGTGTCACCAGTTGCACAGGTAGAATAAGGCCTGTTTCCTGCTTAGTGTCCTTGGGGCTGGGCCAGAAGCCAAGGCTACCTGGTGAGCCAGACCCTCTGCCTGGCTCCTGCTTGCAGCTCAGCCTGGCTCAGTCACCCAGCCTGGGTCTGCTCCAAATTGGCTGGTCCAGCAGAGCCAGTTACGGTGGGGGTGACCATTGCAGACACATCATTCACTGTCCCTCTGATTACAACAGCCCAGCAATAGGTGTCCAGGACTCCTATATCCCTTTTATGCTTTTAGGCCTCTCTGAGGCCCCAGGACCCTTCTGGGGAGCCGCACAATGACCTGCACCCAGGGGCTCTCCTGGAGTCCTCTCTCTCCACCACACTCCCTGGCCCTGTCCAGCTTTCTCCATCTTGACCTTGATCATCATCCAGTCAACTTGTGGGGTGTAGTAGAGGGAGGGTGCCCTGCGCCCTGGTTCACCTGGGTAGCTTCAGCCTGGGGTGCACAGCAGTGGAGAGATCATGCCTTCTAAACTCGGGACAGGACACGCTGGATTCTCACCCAGAGCACCCAACCGTAGCCTGGTTCCTCTGCCCTGTCCCTTCGTCCAGCGCAGGAAGGGAAGAGTATTTTTCAATCTTAGCTCTTCCTTCCGACTTCCAACTCCTTAGGACTGCGCGCGAGTTCCCGGAACCCAACATTCAAACCTCACCGCCTGGTACACACCCCGTTTATTTCCAACCTCCCCAGGGCCCAGGCTCCGCCCAGGCTCTGTAGGTGCCCACCCAGGGCTGAGAAGCCCCTCTGTGCCCCCGCCCCACCCCTTTCAGGCTGGCCCGAGGTGGGTCGCCGCGCCCAGGGCGCACAGTTCCTGGGGGAGCGCGGTGGGGAAGCTACCTAAAGTGCCGAGAGAAGCCCTGGTCCTTCCCCATCTGGAGTCGGGACAGCGGAGCGGCAGGTGCCGAAGGGCCGGGGGTGGCCGAGCCGGCGAGCTGAGAGAGGGCACCGCGACTCCACGCGCCTCTGCGGGGCCAGCGCGCGCGCCCCTCCCAAGCGGTCCCGCCTGCAGCTCCGCCCCGCCCCCTCTCAGAGGCCCCGCCCTGTTCCTCTCCTCCCACCAGACCCTTAAACTAGTAGGGGGTTGGGTTGGGGGCGGGAGTTCAGGATGACAGCTCTCTCCTCTTGGCTTCCTCCTTTATTCCCCCCGCAAGCGCCTCGCTTGCGACCTCTCTGACCGCCCCGCAGCGCTCCGGGCTCAGTATTCCGCTGTTGCGGGAGACGGAGCAGTTCAGAGGCACCTAGCAGTTTAGAGGACTCGCCGCCTGCCTTTTGCAGAGCATGGGAAGGCTTCCTGGAGGTGGTGGCCAATGCGCTGCTTCTCCAGGGCTCAGGAGGAGTCGGCCTGCAAGAAGAACTCCCCCTTACCTACCCAGGGGTAGCTCTGGTGGACGAGGCTGGAGAGGGGTCCTTGAAAGCCACTGTCAGTAGCTGAGATCGCACCTCACAGCCACGGGGCAGAGGGGGAGCAGGGTTCACACTGGGGTTGTGGATTCAAAGGGAGGTGGAGGGACCCCTGAAGGTTTTGGGACACCAAGGGAAGGGAGTGCTGGAGGGGACGCAGGGACAAGAAGCTAGCGTCTAACCCTAAAGGAGGGAGGTAGAGTCTGGGGCTAGAAGTGAGTAGGGACCAGCCAAGCTGGGACAACTTCCAGATGAGCGGGAAGGGGCTGTCTGAAGGCCTCCCCTTCTATGACAGTGTTCTACAGGGAGAGGGGAGGGGAGGAACAGCCAAGGAGGAGAAAGAGGTGACAGGAAGGGGTCTGGACTCCTCCCCAGCAGCTGGCCCTGCCACTCCCTGGAAGTCACTGCAGGCACCGATGCCAAGGCCTGGCTCTGCAAGTCCACTGCCACTGATCCAGAGTCCTGGCTGCTGGAGAAGGGTAGGATCTGAGATCTGGGAGCAAATGATGGATTCTGGGGAGCCAGGGCAAGGTACTGGAGGCGGGGGTCAGAGGCAGCCTCAATAGGGGACGTCAGCATGAGGTTCTTTCTGTAACAGGAGGCAGCCAGCACACTGAAAGGCCAGCACACAGAGGCAGGAAACCCTGGGATCGAACTCTGTCTCCCTTAGAGGACTCCCTCATGGAGCCAAGTCTTAGGATTCCTGCGGGCAGTCACAGGAAGGACCCTGCAGAGCTGACCATCAGACCATCCTGCTCACCACACTGTACCTCAGCCCCCATTTCCTGGCCCCAGTGAGACCATCATCTTGCCACGACCTCCCAGGGCTACATTTCTCCCTGGCAGAAGCAGGAGGCCAGAGCCAGTGCTCCCTAATGTCATGTCCTCATCACACTTTGTCCTCAGCCCTACCAGATAGAGGAAAGCCTGACCATCCTCTCAGCAAGCATAGCTCTATGATATCTGCAGGTCCACAGCTCTTCCACCACGACAGAGCCATTTCTGGTTGCTTTGTACCAGCCAGCACTGCCCAGAATCAGGCATGCCAAAGGCTATGGAAATCATCCCCTGTGCTCTTTGTTTGTGGAGAGGCAAGCACGGTGCAAATGCCCACACTGGAGTCTAGACGTGCTGCTTCAGGGCCAGTCCCCATAGGCACAGGAAAGGTCCCTGGTGGGGCCAGCAGCTGGAGACATGATCCAGGGCAGCATGGGATAGGCCAGATGACAGCGAAGCTGGACTTCCCTGTTGTTCCTACCTTTACTATAGGGCACTGCCAGAGATCATTTAGGGCAGTCGTTCTCAACTAGGGGTGATTTTCCCTCCCAGGGGATGTCTGTCTGGAGACATTTTTGGTTGTCACAAGATGACAGCTAGGAGTGGGGCATACTAGTGGGTAGAGGCCAGGGCTACTTCTACTAAAAGTCCTACAGGCACAGGGCCATTCCCAACAACAGAAAACATAATGGATCAGAAATATCAATAGCGCCATGCTTGAAAAATTTGCTCTTGGGAAAAAGAGACCCTCCCTAAGGGAAACCAATACTAATTGAGCCCATACTATATTCTGGCACTTCTACCCATACTGTCTCATAAAAGTCTCCTAGTAACTCTTTATTGTGGTGTCCCTTGTCACCAAAATAGAAGAAGGGTAAAGGGGGTACAAGAGGTCCCCGACACTCCACCTCCAGATTCTCTTTTTTTTTTTTCTCCAGTATCGGGAATTGAACTCACGACCTCGTGCTTGCCAGGCAGGGGCTGTGCCACTGAGCTAAATCCCCAGCCCCAGATTCTTAACTAATCTCTTTTCTGCTTAGAGTTCACAGAATTCACTTCTATGGTTTCCTATGAAGAATCCTGCTGAGAACACATACAGTTTTTTTTTGTGGGGGTGTTAAGACAGGGTCTTGCTATGTAGTTCAAGCTGGCCTAGATCTCACTACATAGCCCAGGCTGGCCTCGAGCTCACTGCAATCCTCCTGCCTCAGCCTCCTCAGTGCTGAGATTATAGGTATGCAAAATCATACCCAGGATGGCACAAGTAAGTTTGACTAGCCTTGGTTTTACAGAAAAACTGTAAAGGTCAATTAATCTTCTTAAGGCTGTACTGTCAGTGATGGAAGCGGGGGTTCCAGGTCTGTAAAGTTTCCAAATTCCAGCTTCTTTATCAACTCAGCTGCTTCTCTCCCATCCACCCCTCAACTGCCCTTTCCCACCCACTCCTGCTCCTCATGTTCCCTGAAACTAGCTTGCCACGAAACAGACTGCTTTCTTGTTCCCTCATGGCCACGTTACACTTTCCAAACTGCCTGTCTTGTCCTAATTAGAAAGACATTGTACCACTTCATCAGCTTGGGATCCCTTTGGGGACAGACCCAAATTAGACTCTGTGTGGAGTGGCAATGTTCACTGCTATTGTAGAGGGAGATGATTCATTTATTTACTTGGTACTGGAGGTTGAACCCAGGGATGCTCTTCCACTGAGCCATATCCTTGGCCCTTTTAAATTTTTCTTTTGAGACACGTTCTTGCTAAATTGCCCAGGAACTTGTGATCCTCCTGCCTCAGTTTCTCTCAGTGCTGAGATTACGAACACTGCCACCACATTCAGCTAAGAGGATTCCTTTTGTTTATGTTGGACCCACTCACCCATCTCACCCTTTCTTTGCCTTTTGTCTTTGACTGCAACACTGTACAAAGGAACCTGGACGTGTTCTTTGCCTGCACGGCTCAGACAGTAGGTGGCTATTATCCATATGTCGCTATTGAGTGCTTAAAGTGCTGCTTGTGAGGCCAAACTCTAAACTGAACTCCAAACTTTATCACATATTAATTAAATTTTAAACAGCCACATGTGACGAGAGACTACTGGTCCAGATGGTTCAGGATCATGGTCTCACTACTCCTTCCTTGTGCTCCCAAGGCATCTGTTTTGGCCACTTGGGCCACTGCTCAGAGAGGCCACACCTCTCTCGTTTGAGTGGGTCCAGCCTCCATGTATGCACACACATGCGCATGTTCATGTGAAAAAATACATTTTTTTCACCTACTGCCCTTCTCCCTGAAGCCTGGTCTCTCCTTCATGTGGGGTCCTTAGTGTCCTGCCCCATCCTAAACTAAGCACTGCTGGGTTCCATGTGCCGGTGTGACACCGCCCTCACCATCTGTGACTAGATACCTAGCCTTGACAAACTCCTTGGGGACTGTCCTAGCCTCTCCACTGCACATTGCACACTGCAACTCCTGGAGTCACTGTCTGAGCCCCAGCACTGACACCTGCTACCTCCCCTGAGGAGTCTGCCTGGATTGCCCAGGGTTAAGCTAGCCTGCGACTGCCCCTCAACTGGCACTCAAAGCTCAGAAGCACAGCTAGCTGTGGCCATGTCCCCTCCATACCCAGTCTCAGCTGTGTCGGCAAGGTGCCGCGCTCGAAATCCCTACTGGGTCCTTAGAGCCCGGCACGGGGTGAGGCTGCTGGCAACTGGCCAGGCTTCTGGAGGGAGGTATTCTGAAGTTTGGGGGTGGCTAAACCCCCTGCTGCCAGTGTAATCCTTTCCCTACCGAGCCCAGCTGGGCGCTGCCCCTCCTCTAGCAGCCTGCTGGATTTCCCTGTCACACTTGACACCCGCTGGTAACACAGGCTGCCGCTTCACCCCCACCCCCACCAGCAGCACCCCAGGGATGCTGTGAGGCACCCGGCACCTCCAGGTGTCCCGGGTTCCCGCTTCCCAGAATCTAAATGGAGCATCCCCCTCTTCTGACCCGCTCGTCGCTTGGGGAGGAAGAGCAGCCAGGAAAGGCAGCAGGGACTGAAGCCCGGGAGCACTAAGGGGGATGAGGGGACCTGAGAGGGTTTCCAGCTGAGTCTGGCAGCTGGCAGCCGAGAGACAAGCTTGCCGGGCGGGGCGGGGCCGGGGGCTGCTATCGGTTACCTCCCAGGAAGCGCTCAGTGCCAGGCAGCATCTCTGCGGCAATTCCAGCTCTAGAAATAACTTTTTTTCCTTCCCCTCGCTGGCTTTTCTCAGCGAGGGGCAGGCCCCTTACTCACCCTAAGCAGCTCATGGTGGCCTCTTTCGGTGGCCTCCTCCGCTCGGCTGCAGAGCCGAGATGCGCGCCCGGCTGGCTGGGGCGGAGGGGGGGGGCGTTGGCCAGTCCCGTCCCTGACATTGGCCAGGCCCAGAGGGAGGGGCAGGCTGTGGGGTGAATGGCAGCGAGAGGAGGGAGGGGGCTGAGCCCGGGAAAGAGATGGCGGGGGAAGTCACAGGCAGGGGGCAAAAAAGGCCAGGCAGGACTGGGCAGAGGGAGTCCCTCTACCATGGAGGAAGCTGAGCAGGCAGGAAGTGGGGTCCGGAGAGTTCTGGGTCACCTGGGGTCTTTCCAGGTGAAGATTTACAGGGAATTTTTAATTTTTTCCTTTGTGATAAACAAACTTAACGGCTGAGCCTGAACAGAGAGTGTCCAGCTGACTGGCTTCATGGTCTTATGACTGCCACTAATTTGCTGTGAC